ACGAGAATGAAGGTAAATACTTTAGTAACATTAAAAGCCAAATAAACACTTATATTAAAATAAACTTCCAGGTTACCAGTAAAGGAAATTGGACATATTGGTTAAAGCAAGGACCTAATCAATCACTGCACGTCAATACCAGAAGATTAACAAGGAAATTATGGAGTAGGAAGAGACGATTATGTTGCACCTTATTTTACTCTAATTTTTTTAATAGAATAGACTTACATATTTGTTCTAAACATCTAATGTTGATGTACTACTTAACTTGTCATCATTTAATTTAATAATGTGAATAAAGTAGGTATATTAATACATAATTCATAATTATGATCACTTATGCTATATTACTTAAATTTAATGTATTTAATAGCTTACATGTCATACATTAAGTAGCTGATATTAATATTTTGAAAAAGTACCTAAGCTCTTATTTTTTTGTTTTTGTATAATTAGGCTCAAAAAGCCTCTGGTGTTATAGGTTTAGTATAGATGTGTTAACTGATGATCATGCTGAATTAAACTAATACAATTGATAAGAGTCACTCAAATTTATGATTTTGTAAATGTGCTACTATTATTGGTTATGATGGGCAAATTGGTTATACCTAGTAAATGTAACGATTGATAGCAACATTTCGCATAAAATTTATATTTCTAAGAAGTACCGAATAACATGTTTGGGGGGATTCACAATTCAAAATCATTTTTTTTTTCTTTTCTTTTTTATATATGAAAATCATTTACTTGTCAGAGAAGTTACACAATTATAATTAAGTAATATTACTTGTTTAAGATTTAGTAAGGTAACAGGCTACCCATGCAATCAACAAAGATAATATGTAAACAATTAAATACTGGATACGCCTACAAGTGTATAGGGACATACCAGCTGTCAAATGGCCGGACTGGGAATAGGGACATTCCATAAACAGGACGGCCGACTGTTAGCAAATACGTATTATGGGAAGGTAAACCGGAAACGATACCGATATAATAATTATGAAGTCTTGTCGAATATTGTTTAAATATAAGTTCCAATTTAATATTATGTTAATTTTAAATAGTTATTTTAAATAATTAATACTATCAAAATCGATAACTTTAAAATTGTAATTGATAATTCAATATGGGAATGGTTTTAACTCAATTGACACGCCGTTGGACAGAATGGCGTGTGTGGGGGCGCAGAGGAGCGCCGGCGGCGATAGCGAAAAGAACGTGGAGAGAATATTGTAATTTGTGACGATAGCCTTGTTAACTGAATAAAATTGTTCATCGAAGCAGTGGAATTAATTCGAAGACCCCTTTTGATAACCATTTCTAATATTTGTTTGTTGAAAAATGGAATTAGTGTGTTCGTCTAACATAAAAAAAACATATCTGCTACTAAATAAATACCTACATTGAATTCATTTGGATATGTTCAAAAAAATACATTTTAAAAATATTTAATAAGTATAGCTAATAACTAAATATTATCAAAAAATATTTTTTTACAGGGTGTAGTGTCTTAGATGACCATATTTACTGTCAGCGACCTGATGATGATGATTCAGTTGGAGGACTAATAATCATTAAAGGTATATTATACTTACACTTTATTTTTGTCTGGCACAATAATTAGCAGTATTTATTATTGTGTTGGGTTTGTGTTATTTGAGTAGGAATTTTCAAAAGAAAAATTATTTTTAATTTATGTTAACTACATAGTGAAAAATTTATTACAGGTGATATCTTCCAAGAGCACCAGTATTCACTTCCTTCAACAAGCAATTCTGTATTCACTTCACATTTGGAGAATCAAGGTTAATAATGATTAATTGAAATGTATAATTTATGGATAATATGCACCTGTACTAGCCCTCATCAGACTGTCACGAAGTTTCATTTTTATTTTAAAGATAGCTATTTTTATTCAAACTGATGTTCGTCTGTATCATATTTAATATGAGGAATATCATGTACATTATTATCGTAACAATATGATAAAACTCTGTGATAACAGCAAAATGTAGTTGCATCTTTGCTCAGACAAGTAGTTTCTCTATTTTTAACCGACTTCAAAAAAAGGAGGAGGTTCTCAATTCGACTGTATTTTTTTTTTTTTTGTATATTTGTTACGCGATTACTCCGGCAATTATAAACCGATTTGAATAATTCTTTTTTTATTTGGTAGGTCATACGTCAGAGGTGGTCCCATTGTCACCAGGTCAGGATCTGATGATGGGATCCTGGGGAAATCGAGGGAAACCCTCAAATTTTGTAGGCATATACACTGTTTATCAGAAATTATCTTAATCTATGTAGATTTTTGCATCTAATGGTCACCATCTGATGTTGCTGAGCTGATGATGAAGCTGATGATGAATGGTTTAGGAGTATGGGATCTCTGTAACAAAATTATGTAATACCATCGAATTTGAATGTGTTTGAGTCTAATTAATAAGGACTCCGATCCTATGTGATATTCAGGGTCTGATGATGGAGACGGTAAATAGCCATGGGAACTCTGTAATAAAATAAAGCAATTCCGCCGTGTTTGTGCTCATTAGATACAGATTCGAGGTCTGGTCCCTAAGTTGGTTGGGGCAGCGCGTGCGTTGGCGCGGCTGCTGCCCAACATGAAGGGACCCGATGACTCCTGCAGGAGACTCTACTCGGGGGTTGTGCGGTCCATGGCCCTTTACGGGTGCCCGGTATGGGCGGGGGCCCTGAAGGCCAGCAACGTCGCGATACTGCGACGACCGCAGCGAATGCTGGCCATCAGGATCATAAGGGGGTACCGCACGATCTCCTTTGAGGCAGCGAGTCTCCTGGCCGGAACTCCACCGTGGGACCTGGAGGCGAGAGCCCTTGCGGCACTGTATCAGTGGCGCAAGGAGGCGCAGGAGTTGGGTCGATGCCCCGAGATTCGAGAAATCGATGACCGGAAATCCCAATCCGCCAGGTCATCATAGGGGAGTGGAGGGAACGACTCGGGCAACCGAGCGCTGGGCACGCCGTCATTGCGGCGGTAAGACCCGTTATGGAGGATTGGCTCGAGAGGCGTCACGGGACCCTCTCATACCGATTGACGCAGGTGATCACTGGGAAGGGATGTTTCGGAGATCACCTGTGTCTGATCCGCAAGGAGCCAACGCCTGAGTGCCACCACTGCGATGGCCAGACCGTGGACACGGCTCTCCACACGCTGGCAGAGTGCCCGGCGTGGGTTGAGCAGAGGCGAGACCTCGTGGCGGCCATCGGAGTGGGAGTTCTCTCGCTCGATAGCCTGATTGCGGCTATCGTGCGGAGCGAGAGTGCGTGGAACTCTGCCGTCTCCTTCTGCGAGCAAGTTATGCTCGCGAAGGAGACGGCGGAGCGGGACCGGGAGAGGTTTAGAACTCTCCCGGCCCGCCAGGCCCGGGCACGGGCCAGGCAGCCCAGGCGACTCAGGCGCCGGAGGTCGCAGAACGACCTCCGTCCTCCATAAGCGCAGGCCTGGGGGTGACAGGTGAGGCCATCTGTCACCCTAGCAGAAGCAGGCCGGGGTGGCGGCGAGCGCGTTGCGAAGCGCGCTCGCTTCCAGGGAGCACAGGGAACATGGGGTTCCCACACGGGGCGGGGGTCGTCTACTCGTCTGTAGATGACCCGAGGTATGTCGGGGCACCAGGGCCTTCCTTTCTAGGGTATACCTGGTTCCCCGGCTATTGTAATAAATCCGGCATAAAAAACAAAATTCTTCTTTCTGTGATATACCTAATGGTCCTGATGCGATCGCGGGCCGTATTAATATGGGCCGAGGGCCGGATGCGGCCCGCGGGCCGTATCTTTGACATGACTGGTCTACCGTGTCAATTTAGCGCGCACGCTAACATCACGGCGCCGCCACGTAAACATTCAACATTAACATTAAAAGACAAATTGCGGATTAAGAAATGTTCCACATAAAGAACTAACAGAACGTGGTCCCGGTGTACGAAAAACACTGTCGAAATCGGAAAACCCCGTTTTAGAAGATGCTTTGTTTACGTGGTTTTTGCAACAAAGGCGATTGCATTTCCTATAGGTGGTGATATGATTTGTAAGAAAGCTCGTATTTTTCATCGCCAGATTACAAACTCCAATATCGGGTTTAATGCAAGCCGGGGATGGTTAAACAAACTTTATTAAAATTATAAGGAATGTGAAAAACCTACAATTAACATAAACAATTTAAAACTTCTCAGCAGATATAAACAACAAACAACAACAACAGCAAAACTTTTTTAGTTTAAACACAAAAATTCCAATCAAAAACAAACTAACGGCTGTGTTTGCACAAAAATGTGATTATAATCTAAACGTACATTAGGCGTTATTAAACGATAAAGGACAATGACGACACCCATTGAAGACAACAGCTATGTTTTAATAAGAAGCTTACAATTACTACTACCTATATGTATATTGATTCAGCCATACATATTTACGTACAGGTAAATGAAAACCATATTTACATTTATATCTTTAATGACAAATAGGAAATAAACAAAAAAATAAACAGAAAAAAAGTGCAGAAAATCTTGTAGTAAAACATGTATGTACTAGGTACAATTAACGCTTAAAAAAATCTTGAATCTTCGTCTGCAGAAACAACTCTACCCGCTTACGAGCGGCTAGATCACGTACTTTTTTAAGAACAGATATTTGATACTGGTCGCTTTCAGCCTGTGTTTCAAACCAACGCAAGGCAATATCTAAGCAAGTAAACGCTTCAGAAGCACTAACTATGTTTTTATCTTCATTATCTGAACTTGTAGTTGATGTGGTGCCCTGGCGTCAGCCTTATTAGTCATGAGGTTTAAAATTTCGCTATCCTGCATAATTTGGTACCCGGTATCTTCATCGTCGATATCCATCCATTGTTGAACCTCTTCTTCATCACATTCGTGGCAATCGAGATTTTTTAGCATATCTATCATTTCAGATATATCTTCCTGTTTCTTATAATGGAAACTGGAAAAAACACAGTAGATATGCCGATTGAGTGTTCAGTTTCAGCGGAGGACGAAAAATATGAGGAAGAAGAGGAAAACAGAAATATAGATAACACAGACAGTGATGTTGAATGTGAAGATAATGATACTGTTGGGTATATCGGGGAGATTCTGGTGAATGAAAACAGCTTTTCTACTTAGTTCAAACACTTCTTTATTTCTAAAATTACAGTCACGCGCCACAATGGCTGCACAAGGGATACGGGTACACACACCACAGACACAGAAAGCATTGGGACCAGAAATTCTGGGTTGCCAGCTATAAGCCAAATTAACACTTCCTCAACCCCGAATTTCTTCAGTCTTATTTCTAATAATCTTTTGAACAATTATATCCAACTTCCACTTCTATGACCTTTTTAATCTATGAAAACTTTTTATATATCTGTTATTCTATTTCTTACATAATCTTTGACAAAATTTTCTTTGACTTAAGTTTTGACAACTGACTGCTAAAAAAAACCTATATTAATACATAGGCTATTTGACAACAATAAAAATATTCTCCAAATTATGGCCATCCTAGTAGATAATAGGATTGAAAAACATAATTTACTTAATTTTACACTAATTGGTGTAAAATATTAAGCAAATTTAGCGAAATAAATTATTTATTTTTTTATTAATTTTACTGTGGACGGGAGCGTCCTGTGATTGAACACAAATGTGTGACGACGCCGCAATAGTCACAAGTGTCAAAAGTGAACCATAGATTAAAAGATATGAAGTAAACAAAACAAACAATCTCAATTTGTGGATTACTTCGACCGATGTCAAGTGCTCATTTTTATGTTTTAGTTATTTCTAAAAGTATTTTATAATAGATTCTGAAAGAAGTGGCATTAATATATATACAAATCGCAAAATGGAGTCAAATTTTGTACGAGCTGATAGCAGAACTCTTCCTAAAATAGACGCATTTATGGTTGCACTTTTCTTTAAGAATATCGCTGATTATTATGCTGCGGAACTTAAAAATGTCAAAACAGCAGTGTAAGTATGACGTACAAATCATTCATGTGCTAATATTTGTTATAACAAAACAAAATTGTAACATAATCTCTTAGGTTATGGAGCGTGTAAATAAGTTTTTATATGGTCTTTTCTTTTGTTTCACAGGTCTGCAAGGGAGTAATATGGAGATGATGCGATTGGATATGTCCAGCTATCCCGGCAACTTGGAGTTTATACAGTCAAGTGTAAAATGTGCCCAGAACATAAAGTGAGAAACACAGGTTATACTCGTAATATGACATTGGATGTTGACGAAAACGACAACCAAGTTATTAGTTGGACCCTGTTAAGCAGACAAGATCCAACCAACACTTTGTTAGTTTTGAGTAAATGCTTGGAAATTTAGGAGTGAATATAAAACAAACAGGCAGAAGATTACAAAAATGGAAAGTTACTAATAGTAACTCACTAAATTAGTAATATTTTAAATGTAATACCACTTCCTAGTTGCACACAGTTTACTTGATTTTCTTAAAAACTACCCATGGATCTTTTATGCAAAAAATAAAATCATCGGTAACATCTCCACGGGGGATCCAAATAAAAAACATATGAAGTTATAAAATATTTACTAAAAGTATTACGAAAATAGAAACATTGTTGACTCACTTTTTACTTTACTGTTTAACCCGACATTCCGGACACTTCCCCGCGACAAAGGACTCTGAATAGTGTCCGAAATGTCGGCTTAAATAGATATTGTAAAAGTAAATAAAACGCGATAAAGTCCGTAAAGTTTTATTTTAGTTGAAATTCTAATAAGGGTACCTACACAACTAATCAAGATATAGGATCGCGGTCCACTTCCACTTCAATCTCAAAATCAGGTTCCCCCGAAATTCCGTCTACATCATCTTCTATACTATTGTCACCAGTCAATTTTTTGTGGAATGCCTGAGCATCACGTGGGATCAAATGCATTAGGCTTTTTATGTCGTTCAACTTTGCTTGTGGTATCATCTTCAAATCAGGCCAAAGCATTTGCATTAGACTTTTTGATATGAAGCGTTGTCTGCCGCGGCAATTTTTTTTCAGGTCTACTTCTACAAAAGAATCGTCTATATTGTACCGCATAAATAAAGAAAACATTCTGTTTTTTAATAAAATTTCTTTCGTCTGCAGCCCGGAGACTTTTTCTCCAGAAAGTGATTTCTTTCTATTAGTTATAATATTCTCCAGTGGACGTGAACTAAGAACATCTGTTGGTTGCATTCGGTGAACTTGTAGGGGCTTATGTTTTTTGCACGATCTCATAATATTTATGTAGTCTTCAGGCGAATACACTCTTTGTTGGTATTTCAACGCATTTTCCACCTTTCCGAAATCTGTATCGTTCGGCAAAAAGTCGTCCCGATATGTCCCGATTCCAAAAACTTCATGCTTATTTGCTGCAACGTTTGGTGATCTTCTAAGAAGGCTTTAAGCATAAGAGTGAGCTTGATGTTGCGGTTTTGACCGCCACAGGAATCGCTCCAAAGAATAAGGTGAGTTACCCCTTCTTTGAGTCTCAGTCTAAATTTATTAAAAATTCTTCGCACTGAGCAGGGATTTTATTTTAGCCCCGGTAATACCCCGTTTTTCAGTGACAGAATCCGTTCTCATTTTTAAAAGCCTGGTCTTCACGAACATATCTCTACATACCAAAATACCTTTCAAAAAATACTGACGCTAATGTTTTTTTTTTTTCGAGATGTTGTACCATATGTAAGGGCGTTTCACAGGTTGTTCTTTCACACAAGCCACAATATACATATTTTGCGAATGATATGTTCCCAAATGTGACCACCAGACTATTACTTTTTCCAAAATTTAGACAACTTTTTAGTGGGTAAAAAATTCAATTCCCGAGAGGCAGTACAAAATGCCTTTGAAGACTTTGTTGCCTCCCGTCCAGCTGATTTTTACAAGAAGGGCATCAATAAACTGCCCAGTGATACTCGGTGATATACAGTCAGGTCCGGCGGATTTAGATATATCTAACTTACTGTCTACGCACTAATCAACGCACGTGTAAATGACGTGATATGTGTTCCGCCAATGAGAGACGTTTCTACACAGTGACCATTTCAAAAGGGATTTCTAATGTACGGCTTATATACTCAGATTTTTGTAACAATCGCACGTTAAACATGTTTGCAATGTACATATGTAAATTTTGATTAATTACACAAGTTCACGATATACAGTCTTACGTCTATTTTATCTACGCACCCAACGCAACAAGCTATCGAACGAACATACTCGTATGGTCCTTTTTCAAGCCGGACATATCAACGTAATTGAGCGGCCGACCTGTGGACTTATTAACGTGAACAAACTTGGCGCTTATGCAGCTGGTGGTTCCATAGACAAGCATACATTCGCTTTACCCGATACTTGACTAGCTGGAACTTGAAGAGTTGGCTTACATCACAACATTGCGCATCATCATCATACCGTACGGCCATCCATCTTACTTTCCTTCCGTAACCCTAGCTGTATACCTTCTAATTCTGTGTGTGTCTAACCCATATTTCATCACAATTTAGCTGTGCAGTGCCTGTCAGTGTCCCCAGTGTGAGACATCATAAACGTAAGTAAATTCACTTTATTAGTGCAACATGACCACATTGGAGTCAACTGATAGGACCAGGGCCAGATCGCCTGTCAAATTAAACGCTCCAGGCGACGAAACCATGTATGTTAATCTTGTTCGAAAACGCGGTATAACAAAGGGTAGATTAACTAGATTTTCTAATTATATATGTAGTTTGAAAAGTGCTGGTTTATTGTCTCCCATCGAGAAGGCGGATTTAAAATTACGCATAAAAACTGCTGAAAGTATTTTTCAGGAATTTAACGACTTTCAAATAAAAATAGAGGAATTAGTTTCTACAAATGATCTTGAGGAGCAATTAGATCAACGCGATCAATTTGAAAGCTCATATTTCAGTATAGTAGCTCAGGCGAAGTGTTTAATAAATGATTCGGAGGTTGGCGGAAGTCCTAGTAGTCATAGTTCTAGAATCGACTCGGTGAAATTACCAACAATTACGCTCCCTACGTTTGACGGCTCATGTGAACACTGGCTTGAATACCGAGATACCTACATGTCACTAATTCATGAATCTCAGCATCTCTCAAATATACAAAAATTTCATTATCTTAAATCATCATTAAAAGGAAGTGCCGCCTTGGTCATAGAACAACTAGAATTCTCTTCAAATAATTACAACATTGCTTTAGAATTGCTTCAGAACAGATATAACAATAATAATTTATTAATACATAATCACGTTAAAGCATTGTTCAATATTCAAAAGGTAACAAAAGAATCTCCTATCTTATTAAAAAAACTAATTGATTCTATTTTGAAAAATTTACGTGCCTTAAAATTACTAGGAGAACCAACGGATACATGGGATACCCTCATTAATTATATTATTGTCACTAAACTCGACGAGATTACGGAGCGAGAATGGGAACAGTACAAAATTTCAAATTTTAAAAGTAGCAACGATTTGAATAATACGCCAAAGGTGGTTGATTTGCTTGAATTTTTAAAATCGCGAGCAGATATGTTAGACACATTAAGTTTAAATCACAACAAGTCAGTATTACACAGCCACAAACACAGTAATAAAGTACATTGCAACATTTCGACCAATAAATCTGATCGCCACTTATTACGAAATAGGCAGTGTTTAATGTGCAAGTCTAATCATTCGCTTTATTCATGTGAACAATTTTTAAACGCGTCAACTATTGACAAACTCGAGTTCGTACACAAGAATAAATTATGCGAAAATTGCTTACGATCGGGTCATACGCCAAAGGAGTGCAGGTTCGGTACTTGTAGATTGTGTAACAAAAAACACAACTCTTTACTACATACAAACAATAACACAACCAATGAAAGTATTACGGGCCTTATCACAAATGTGAGTTATCTAGAAACCGGTTTGAGCACAAAGAGGCACTCGCCTCAGGCAGTCGTTAGCGCCGAGTATACAAACGCACCTATAGATTCGATTGTTGTCAATAACATTCATACATCTAAGCGCAGTGCATTCTCGCATTCTATTTTGTTGTCTACGGCGTTAGTTGAGATAGCGGACCGGTTTAAGGGATTTCACGTAGCACGTGTGCTCCTCGATAACGGTAGTCAACGCTGTTTGATTACGGATTCGTTATGTAAAAAACTACACCTTCCATTAGTACAGTCCACTCACGAAATACGCGGCGTTGGTAGTTCTGTGATACAATCAACAAACAATTGCGATGTAACTATTCGGTCACGATACAATAATTATACTAAGCGCATCAAGTGTATTGTTTTACCGAAAATTACGTCTGAACTACCGACTGTGCCGTTAAATCGCGATCAATTTGTAATTCCAAATAAATGTCAGCTAGCGGATCCTTTATATTATGAAACGCAACCCATAGATATATTAATAGGCGCAGACATATTCTGGGATTTACTCAAAAAAGACAAAGTGCGTTGACCTTTCTTATTAGATACGAAGTTGGGATGGGTAATTTCGGGACCTATCCACCATGAGGCGCGTAAGGATGGCAGCATTATCCATTGCAATTTTACTCAGTCCATAGATGCACAACTACGTCGGTTTTGGGAACTCGAAGAAGTTCCTAAAATTCATGACTCACGCACGGAAGAGGAGAAAGCCTGCGAAAAGCATTTCTTAGAAAATACAAAGAGCGATTCTAACGGACGGTTTATCGTAGGCATACCTTTTAAGGAACCTCCTCAAGTTTTAGGGACTAGTCGGGAACAGGCTGAACGTCGTTTCTACGCATTAGAAAAACGATTACAACGCGACCCTACATACAAACAGCTTTATTGCGAATTTATGCGCGAATATTGTGCTTTAGGCCACATGTCTTGCGTACACACACACTCAAATCCTCATTATTTTATGCCGCATCATGGTGTGTACCGCGAGCACAGTACAACCACAAAACTGCGTGTGGTTTTTGATGCAAGTGCCCCCACAACGTCTGGCAAGTCGTGTAACGACATTCAGCTTGTCGGACCGCCCATACAAGGGGATCTCTTTTCTGTACTTTTACGCTTCAGGCAGTATAGGTATATAACATGTGGTGATGTCGAAAAAATGTATCGACAAGCCCTAATCAGCCCTGACCTTCGTGATCTACAATTGATACTCTGGCGCGAGGATCCCTCTCAACCCCTCGGTGTGTATCAACTCAATACCGTCACCTACGGAACAGCGTCAGCACCATTCTTAGCAGTTAGGTGTATTCGACAACTCGCTGATGAGTGTGACGATACTGAGGTCAGCCACTCTATATGTGAGGATATGTATGTCGATGATTATATAGCGGGTCGGGACAATAAACACGAATTATTGCAATTATGTAGCAGGGTCTCCAATGTCCTGCAGGGCGGGTGTTTCCCGTTACGAAAATGGACTTTCAACTTTAACTGCGACATATCACAAACTTCATTAGACATTTCAAAATCGTTGTCACTTGCTGAATGCATTCATAGTAAAACATTAGGTTTAAATTGGTACAATTCAACCGATGAGTTGTATTTCACCACCCAATTAGTTACGAACAGTGACCAAATAATCACGAAACGACTTATATTGTCGTCGGTTTCACAAATATATGACCCATTAGGATTACTGAGCCCTTTTATAATGATTATTAAAATTATTTTACAAAAGTTATGGTTGTTAAAATTAGGATGGGACGATGAAGTATCGCAAGAGGTTATTAAAATTTGGCGTAAGTTCGTTAATGACTTAGTATTTCTAAATACTTTGCGTGTGGAACGACACGTTATACCAATTAAACCTATGTATTTGGAAATGCATATATTTACGGACGCCTCGCAGACAGCGTATGGTAGTTGTGTTTATATACGCGCGGTGAGTGATAACGGAACTATATCGGTTAGGTTACTATGTTCGAAGGGTAAGGTGGCACCACTTAAACCTGTAAGCATACCCCGATTGGAGCTATGTGGTGCATTATTGGGCGCTAAATTATTTCACAAGGTTAATGAGTCGCTGCGTTGTAAATTCGAATCGGTAACCTTTTGGACGGACTCGACAATTGTCTTAGGATGGTTGCGAATGGCACCTAGTTTATTACAAACTTTTGTTCAGAATCGTGTCGTCGAAATACAGGATTTAACTAAAAGTTTACCATGGCGTCATGTCAAAGGTAAAGACAATCCAGCTGACTTAGTTTCGCGGGGTGTCAGCTTAGATAACTTAATCTCCTGTGATGCGTGGTGGCATGGACCACTTTTTCTTCGCGATATCGAGTTTGATAGTAGCGCTTACGTGACGTCAGAACCAAATATCCAACATGACGAGTTACCCGAATTAAAACCAGTAAAAATACATACTTTTACGTGTAATAATAACAATTATTCAGATAATACGCTATTTCCATTTCATAGATTTTCTCAGTTCCACCGTATGATACGTGCATGCGCATACCTACTACGTTTTATTTATAATACGCGCAACAAAACCAACAGGCGTAGTGGAATTCTCACTGTGGAGGAACTGAGACAATCAGAATCAGTTTTAGTCAAATACAGTCAGTTAGAATCATTTCCAAATGAACATAAAATATTAAGTAATAATGGCTGCTTAAACAACAAAAACTATTTGTCAAAACTTAATTTATTTATTGACAATCAAAACATCATTCGTGTAGGTGGCCGCATATGTAACTCTGTGTATTTTACATTTAACAAAAAACATCCTATATTACTCTCCAGTAAACATTTGTTTACCATTTTGTTATTTCGCTTTCATCATAAAAAAATATTACATGTGGGGCCCCAGACACTTCTTTTTAATTTAAGAGAAGCATGGTGGCCACTCAGAGGTAGAAATCTAGCACGAAAAACTGTTCATGAATGCGTTACTTATACTCGTTTTAAGGGTAAAACATTTACCCCACTCATGGGTAACTTACCCGTGGAAAGAATTACCGCTAGTTTTCCTTTCTACAATTGTGGCGTCGACTACGCCGGCCCCGTGTACATAATGAGCCGCAGAGGTAGGGGGGCTAAGACGTTTAAGGCCTATATTTGTTTATTCATATGTTTTGCTACACGCGCTGTACATTTGGAATTGGTATCCGATTTAACTTCCGAAGCTTATTTACTGGCACTTAAGCGTTTCATATCACGTCGCGGAAAACCACAACAGATATTTTCCGACAACGGAAAGAATTTTGTAGGCTTAAAGAATGAGTTTCAAACATTTTTAAAAACATGTTCTTTAGATATTGTAGAATACGCTAATAGTGAAAATATTCAGTTTAAATTCATTCCTCCGTATGCCCCTCATTTTGGTGGTTTATGGGAGGCTGGCGTTAAATCGTCTAAGCACTGTCTCATGAGGGTTATAGGTAATGCACATCTGACCTACGAAGAGTTCAATACAGTACTCACACAAGTTGAAGGTATGCTTAACTCTCGTCCGTTAGCACCATTGTCTACTGATCCAAATGATCTCCTTCCTTTAAGTCCTGCTCACTTCCTCATAGACCGTCCGATTACTTCTCCATTATGTGCTCACCCAAAGATAGCTGAAGATGACATGCGCAGACTTCCTCGCTATCAACGAGTTGAACAAATTCGGCAACATTTTTGGAAGAGGTGGAGCACAGAATTTATTTCAGAAATGCAAATTCGAAGTAAATGGAATCACAAATGCAGGGACTTGCAGCAAGATACACTGGTCATCATCAAAGAGGATTGTACGCCACCGATGAAGTGGCAACTTGGACGCGTTGTGACTACTTATCCAGGCAAGGATGGTGTTTCCAGGGTGGCAGATGTAGGTGGCACAGAGAAGGGCATTGTGAGGCGAGCATTCTCAAAACTCTGTCCTTTGTTCCCGTTGGAAGCTGCTTCTTCCAAGGCCGGGGGCATGTCTACGCACCAATCAACGCACGTGTAAATGACGTGATATGTGTTCCGCCAATGAGAGACGTTTCTACACAGTGACCATTTCAAAAGGGATTTCTAATGTACGGCTTATATACTCAGATTTTTGTAACAACCGCACGTTAAACATGTTTGCAATGTACATATGTAAATTTTGATTAATTACACAAGTTCACGATATACAGTCTTACGTCTATTTTATCTACGCATCCAACGCAACAAGCTATCGAACGAACACTTACATAGCAAACTTACAACTTCTTCTGTATTAAATATCGCATTGCCTATATCGGACAGAGGTTCCGGTGTAATACAATTTGGAGTAGCGGGAGTACCAGGCGTTGGATTGAGAAAATTTGATTGAAAGAAGGAGGCAAAAGCTTCGCATACAACTGCTCCCGTAGTCAGATCTATTAGAAGCTATTAGAAGCGCAACTAAAAAGTCTTTATTCTGTTTTTTATTTCATTGATCTAACTTTTACATTTTTGGAGGTATTTCAATTTTTGTTACTGACCCGTAATTTTTGGAACCGAGTGTATTTGTTGAACTTTAGTATGTAATTCCTTTACTTGGGCGCTTAGTGCGGAATTGCTTTTAAGAAATTCACTTATAAAGTTGCTATATTTAGATATTTAATGCTTCTTGTGTATCGTGAGCGTCAGATAAGAAGACAACTGTCTTCTTGAAATCTTCCAAGTCTTCGCGCATTGAAGAAAAACGTAAAGACATATCATTAATATCTTTTTGTACAATTTCCAATGCGTTCAAAAAGTGGACGAAATTTTCAAATTTTATATTTTTTTCTGTCTTCTTCGCTTATATCTTCATCATAAACACATTTCATTCTAGTCCTTATAGCATAAAAGCGTAATCGGCTCATAGCATAATCGGCTACAACCGGGACTCTCCATCTTTGCATCCAATACATATCAATTTTTGGATATTGTAAGTAAGTATACCTTCAGCTCCTTCCTAGTAAGACTCAATGTTTTTCCTGTGCGTCCAACTTCTGTTCTATTTGTAGATACAACAATAATGTCTAAAACCTGCTCATCAATATACTATCATAATATAAGCTATAACACGAACTGGTGTTTTAAGTACTCTTTAGCATTTAATGTCAACTAGATCCTCTAGTAGAGGCTCTGTTAGATCATCAAGCAGGGTTCGGGATAGAGCAGTGGATCGCACATCTTATCGGAGTTCAGTCCAAAATCTTATTGAAACATTCTACTCCGACTCTAGTAGAGATTCTAGCCCAACACCGTTAGGATCAGGAAACATGACTGACTCAGAGGTGAACATGGCAGCTGCATCAGCTGTTTTGAACAGCTTGGTGGACATTAAGGTCACTTCGGGAGATGTAGGGAATCTAGTGAGATCTCTGGAGTCAATGAGAGGATCTTTACTGGATTGGGTCTCTGGCAATATTGCTTTTGCTGGCTTTGATGCGCAGGAGATGCGAGATAGCCTCATCAAGAAGCTACATGGCAAATCGATAGTGCTTGGAGTTCTGATAGGTCTGGTGAGGGGAAATAGACAAAGGTACCTACCGTGCTACCTTGGAAGAAAACTCGATACAGTTACATAGTTCATCGTCGAAGCTTAAAAATCCTGAAAATCTACGTAGGCTTTGCATAACTGCCATAAACATTTATTTACACCCTTTAGCAGCAGATTCAAATGAATTCGTGCATTGTTTGAAGAATTTGCCAAAAAAATCCAAAATGAATACTCCATTTTGCGAAGACGCACCAGAATGCCTGCAGCCAAAAGGAGTTAATCCAGAACATATGTTTACGTCTAATATATGTAGTTATAAAAGAAGCTTCCCCTGAAAAAGGAATCGCTTTAAGAGATATAACAAAAACACAAATAAATAAAAGAAAAAGAAGACAAGCTGGTACTTCACAACGACAGTCATCTACAATTAAAAAAAGAAGAAATTAGAAATAAATTATTTACCAAAGTGACTCAAGCCTGACATCGGAAACTTTTTTTCATGCTGCAGACGACTCCGACTACTAAAATTTTGATAATTACATTGCGTCATGTTTACAAGAACAAGAAAAACAGGAAAACATTGAACAAAAAAACAGATGCCCTTTCGGACTAAGTGATATTAATCTTTATGAGGAAGGTCCTAGACTTCAAGAAAATAGCTGGATAATAGCTAAATTCGCTTCGAAAAAAAGTTTTATAGGTTTTATAGGTATAAAAGTGTTAACATAGTAATGTTTTATCAACAAATGACCAAAATTCCCACGGTGAAATTTGTTCGAAGAGTCAAAAATTCTAAAAGCTATAAGGGAACAGTCTTCACCTACCCTAACATTGAAGACATATGTGTACATGATTTTTTAAATGATATTATTGCAGTATTACCTGATCCCCAAATTTCCCGACGAGGATATTTCATATTTAATTTCGATTTTGATAAGTAAAACATACAATAAGTAAAAATGTTATTGCCTACAATCAGACGAACATTTTCATTAATTTTCAATCTTGGTCTGTGGTCACATTTGAATGTTTTCAATATTTTGTATTTTTGTTTAAGATTATTTTTAAATGTTTCTTATGTTTTGAGTACCTACGTATGTAGGCTCCAACATATTTGTTTTTATAGTTACGTACCTACAGTTCTTATATTGAAGCATTTTTTAAATAATTATGTTACTATATTTCGTAATATGTTCCTATTCATAAATAGTTTGATTAAATTGATTTTGTTAACTAAAATACTACCTGAAACAAATTTTTTAAGAGCGCGATTGTTTTTTTTTAATAATTATAAGGATAATCTAGAAGTATGTATACAAGATTTTGGATAAACGGGTAGCTATTATTAGCATTTTATATATTTTTCTATAGATGTTTGTTTAATACCAAAGTTTCGAATTTTGTTTCCACGTTGTGTTCCTGAAAGTTGAATATCACTTATTTTTTAGAGAGATAAGACTTGTACTTAAATTAGTATTGTTACTCACATAATTTACGATATTTTTATTTTATTTAAAGATTTTGTATTAGGATAACTAAGTGAATACCGTAATCGAAAATATTAATCTTTTCTGGTAAAGCCATGTTATGAAAATTGATTGTTTGTTATTTGTAACTATGAGACATTTTTGCCAAAAAAGCATTGCATTTGCGATGTAATTTTATACTCGAAGTATCCAGCCAGAGGTGTCCCAAGGCATATCAACCATATAATATATTTTGATAATTTTTATACCTCTGTTCCACTAGTTACCCATCTTGCCAAACAAGGGATCTATAGCCTAGGTACTGTACAACATAACAGACTTGTAAACTGCAAACTACCTAAAAAAAAATCAGTGATGAAGAAATCTGTTCCCCGGGGTAGTTATGAAGAGCAAATGACTAGCTTTGAAGGTGTTGATTTGACAGCTGTAAGTTGGAAGGACAATAAACCTGTCGCTTTCCTATCTTCATATGTTGGAGCAGAACCTGTCTCCCTAGTAGAAAGATTTGATAAAGCTAATAAGACCAGGATCAAGATTACATGCCCACATATAATAAAAGAGTATAATGCCCATATGGGCGGGGTGGATCTCCTGTATATCTTCATTGGTAGGTATCGTATATCAATGAGAAGCCGTAAGGGGTACCTACGTATATTTTACCATCTGTTGGATATGACAGTAATAAACTTCATCAGTTCTGAATTTGTGTCAATATAGACTGGAACTAGCTGAGGTTCTAGCTAATATAAATAATGCATCTGAACTCTGTAACAAACGAGGAAGGCCAAGCACCAGTAACAGCGTTTGAAATGGCAATACAAGCCAAGAAAAGTAGAGGACCAGTTCTGCATCTTCCACCTAAAGATATAAGGACAGATAATGTTGGTCATTAGCCTGATGATTGCGCCTGCAGTAGATGCAAAATGCCTGGGTGCAAGGGATATACACAAACAAAGTGTGAGAAGTGTGGAGTAGCCCTTTGCCTGGAGTTGTTGTTTGCCTTCAGTTGAAAAGTATTACCGATTTTTGGGGTATTTCAGATAAAATCAATTTAGCTGTTTCTGATAACGCGGCTTACATTAAGAAAGCCATATCACAGGAGCTGGGGCGGAAACATTTCGGATATGTAGCACACACAATAAATTTGATAGTGCAAGAAGCGATTGAAAAATATGTACCCATCAAATCTGTAATTGAACGTGTAAAGCTCATCGTCGCTTATTTCAAGCGAAGCACTAAAGCCGCTCAAAAAGTTGATGAGTTTCAAAAGCAGAATGGAGCAACACAGCCCAAACGACTACTTCAAGAAGTCCCGACGAGGTGGAATTCCACATATTACATGCTCGAAAGGATAATAGAAATTCAAGATGCCGTCAAGTTATCCATTGCCATTTTGGGTGTTACAAGCTTGCCAAATATTACGCCGGAAGACTGGTTACTTTGCAACGAAACTTGTAAAGCCCTGAAATGTTTCGAAGAAGCATCAAATTACCTGAGTGGTAAAAAGCATTTGACGGCCAGTCAACTATTAATAATAATAAAAGGCATAAAGAGAGTTCTCGGCGATATTTTAACTTCGGATTCTTCAGGTTATCGCTATCTGCCAATAACTTATGATTTTGTTCGAGCATTGTTAGATTTGAGCCATAGCCGTTTCAAAAATATAGAAAATAGTAACACGATTGGGGTAGCAACTTTTTTAGATCACCGCTTTAAATTACAGCCCTTTACATCTGCAAAGCAAGCAACTTTAAGGGAGAGCATGATCAAACTTGTCGCCCAAGAAATAAATCGAGAAGGACTATGCGAAAATATTGAAGTTAGCACCAAAAGTTCTCTCGATCCCACCTCAATATTTTACGGCTGGGATGCTAAGGAAGCTGTGCCGCAATCAATTGAGTCTCCAACTGCACGAGCAATAATAGAAATCGACAAATATTTAAATGAAAAAGTGATTAGTCGCAGTAATTTACCGTTGAGCTGGTGGAAGCAGAACCAAGGCATTTTTCCACATTTGGCTAAGTTGGTTCGAAGCAAATGCAATGTACTTTGTACTTCTGTTTCTTGCGAAAGACTTTTTTCTCGAACTGGTTACATAATTTCGCAACGAAGAACTCGACTTGGAGTCCGAAAAGTCAAACAATTAACATTTTTAAATGGCAATAAAAAAATTATAAAATTTTAAGAAAAGTAATGTTACCAAGTGTTATGTAAATATAAGAAAAAAAAAGAAAAAAATATTTTTAAATAAAAATTACGCATTAAAAAAAAAGAAATCGTTGTAAATATGTAAATTGATTCTCATATTAAATACGCCAACAGAAAAAGTTGACAGTCCTAAGCCTGTGAAAAGTATGAAGGAAATGAGAATTAATTAGGTTAACAATCTGTCTGTGATAAAATTTAACAATTGCTAAAAATAACTGCTAATTTTAAGTGTTAATTAATGTTAGCAGTGCTATTATTTTTAACATTTAAGCCAATCTCTGGTAACGCCTTTTTAGACAAAAAATCCACAGTCGCTGCTTTCTTGGATATTAATTCTGCATACGATAACGTTTTACTCCCCACTCTTAAACAAAAGCTGAATAATTTGAACGTCCCACACCTTTTAACTAACTTTATTTTTAATCTTTTTTCCGAGAGACAAATTATTCTGGACGTTGGAGACCCGTATACACCTAGTAGATTGGTCTGGAAGGGGTTGCCGCAAGGTTCTGTACCCTTTGCTTCTTTGCTGTACAACATATATACACATGACTTAGAAAGGTCTGTTGGTGATAATGTTGATATCCTACAGTATGCGGATGACTTGGCCATATACGCCTCTGATAAATCTGTAGCAATTGCGTGTGAGAATATTTCTTCATCTTTATCTTCTTTAAAAACTTGGATGGATACTAATGGCCTAGATCTATCTCCTTCAAAGAGTAGCTGCGTTATTTTTACCAAATCTCGAAATCCTCACACACCTACTATTACTTATGATAATACACCTTTACCAAGAAGTAAAGTTTTTAGGGGTTGTGCTTGATGCAAAACTAACAAGCCCATTGTGAGTTTGTAGTTTCAAAATATGAACGGAATTTGAATATGCTCAGATGAGCATATTCAAATTCCGTTCATATTTTGAGTACCCCACCAGACACCGCGTAGACATCTGTCTACGCGGTGTCTGGTGGGGTACTCATCCAGCTACTATAAAGTTGGTTTACAACGCCACTATTAGAAGTATCTTAGATTTTGGTACTTTCTTTTTAGATCCTGGGAGTGTGGCAGGTTTCAAGAAATTGGAACTGATTCATTCTAAGGCATTAAGACTCATTACAGGTGCAATGAAATCCACTCCCGTTAATGCACTTCAAATAGAATGTTGTGACCCCCCTTTAAGCTTTAGGCGCCAGTATCTCTCTGACAGATTTATTTTCCGGCTTGTTCAATTTTCTAATCATCCTTTAGCTTCCAAACTTGAATTATTGTCAGAGAAATTGTCTTCTAGTAATAAGCCCTTTCCATGCCTATTAAAAAGTTTTCAGAAATATAAATCGTTACAAGCTCCTACACATTCTTTTAGAGTCCTTCCTTTATTTAAAACTTCATATGATTCTCTTCTTTTATCTCCTACTATTTGTTTTTCTCTCAACATAGATAGGTCCGATTGTAATGCAAAAACTACTTTTAACCATATTGTAAATACTAAATGGCCAAATTGGCATCACATATATACTGATGCATCCAAACGTCCCACAGGGTGTGTTGGAGTAGGCGTATTTCATAACCAATATAATATAGTCCAAAAAATAAAATTACCACCAGAAACATCTATATTTACGGGAGAATGCTTCGGTCTTCTGAAAGCAATAGAATATGTTATAAGTTTTAAACTCAACAAAAGTGTTATATTTACAGATTCACTCAGTTCTTTACAAAGCTTAGATTAATTTTCCTTAAAACTCAATCCTTTTTTACACATAACATTTGAATGTAAGAGAAAGTTGTTGCATTGCCAACTAAACAATTAAACAACTACACAGTCACTAGCCACTGTGGCATCATAGGAAATGTGTGAGCTGACAGTTTGGCAAACGAGGCAACTGTGAGTGGCGATTTATACCCATACACGATTTTCGGACACGACCTGAGTGCTTTGGCTAGCACGTATCTCCATGATACGTGGAATTTGAGCTGGAGAGAGAGCGGTCAGGTCAAGGGTCGCTTCCTCTACGCTATACAGCCTTTAGTCCCAAGAAAACCATGGTTTGCCAAACTGTGTTTTAATAAAACTGCCACTTCGTCTTTAATCCGCATGCGTCTTGGACATATTTGCCTTCCGGTACATCTGCATAAACCTGGCATAGTATCTAGTGCTGCCTTTTAATGTGGTGAGAGTTATTGTGATATGAATCATGTTTTCTTTTCCTGTCCTTTATATGACCACTCTTCCCTATACGAATCTCTAATATCTCTCTCTATTCCTCCTCCTTCTAATATTTACTTACTTCTTAGAGATAATAGATCCTGTATATATAGTACATTAAATAAATTTATTGTAAATAATAAGATTAGATTGTAGTTTCATATTACTTGTTTTCTTTTGTTATATATAGTTAATTATTCTGATTTGTTTTTGTTTAATATACGTTTTCCTCGCTTTGTTGACAAAATGTAAAATACTGGACACTGGCCCAATGCACGAATGGTGCCGAGCCATAAAAAAAAAAACTTAGTGAACGAAACGTCATCTTCCAGCAGAGGTAATATAGCGCGGAATAAAACAATTCGTTGTTACAAATGTAAACAGATTGGACATTTTAAAAATCAATGTCCGGATGCAGAGAAAACGAAGACAAATGCTTTTAGTGCAGTTTTTCTTACAAGAGAATTCAGTCAGTCTGACTGGCACTTAGATTCCGGCGCAAGCACACATATCGTTTCGAATGAAAACATGTTGTTATCAACCGAAGACTAAGGAGATTATAGTTGCAAATCAAACAGTCGTGGAAGTATTGTGCTCAGGAGATCTGCAGATCATGACATGCGTCAGTAATAAAGAGTTTAATAAAAATAAAAATATAAATATAAGCACTAAGGCGGCGGGAGGGATCGATTGTTGTCGAAAAAACTTTCACTTCATTAAGTTCACTGGCAAGGATTAAACGGTCTAAGGAATACGCTGGACACGAGAAGATCATATGATCTACATCACCGACACTACCACAGTTGATACATTTGTCATCTTCAATTATTCCAAGTCTGGATAAATGCGCAGGAGTCTTAGAATGACCAAAACGAAGTCGATTGATTGTGGCGATAAAGTCACGGCTGGCACTTGGTAAACAATAAAACCAAGGCTTGCATGGTAAGTCTTGTTGGATGTTCCCATACCATTTTCCCTTCACTTCCTGATCCTTTTTCCAGAATTCTTTCCATAGCTTCTTTACATTTAATTAAACTTAAGGAGTTAGTAAAAATTAAAAAATTTTGCTGACCATTTACAAACGAAATGATCTTAACTGCTTCTAAAACTGCATAAGCCTCTGCAGTAAATATACTACAATTACTATTCAGAACAAAACTTTGAACGAATTTAGTTTGAGGGTTATAAACAGCACTACGAACATAATTTTCCCCTTTACTGCCATCAGTATAGTGTGTAGAAATCTCTATTTTTACTTAAAAATTCTAACATATCCTGATTATTATTAATAGAATGGGTTATTATTGGGATTTGATACAACAAACAATCATAAGAATAAGAGTAACATGGCCAAGGAGATATTGCATATATTGATGGGAAGTTTTTCATCATTTCCAGTAGTATGCGGGACAACTCGGGAAACTGCCCATTGAGAAGATCAGCCCCTGATGTCAAGGGATCATTGCAGACTAACTCGCAAGGTACAATTCTTTTAATTATATGTAGGTTATTTGAAGCTAATAACTTAATACTATATCTTTCTGCAAGAAATAACCTTCTCAATGTTAGAGGCATGATATTTGTTTCGACCTCCATTGCTCTGATGGGAGTTGAGCACATAGCTCCTGAAATGATCCTCAAAGCCTTGTTTTGAATAATATCTAATTTATGTACATACCTACTATCTAAGTAAGATAAACAACTATAATCAAAATTACTTCTAACTATGGCTTTATAAAGAATGGATAGTATCTTTGGGTCTGACCCCCAAGATACTCCTGCTAGACATCTCATAATGTTTAGACCTTTAATAGAGTTTTGAGAGATGTATTTAATGTGCTTCTTTAAAGATAAGTTATTTTCAATAACTATGCCTAGAAATTTATGATGGCTCACTTGAGGAATAACTTCATTATCAAATATAATTTGATTATTTGGGGAGTCCTTACTAAAAATCATAGCACTACTTTCAGATGGATTAATTTATAGAGATAATTTGCCGTTATGATATGAATGTAATTCCTCAAGTGCATAGTTTAGTCTATTAATAGCAATATCTACATTATTATTTACAGAATACAATACAAGGTCATCAGCAAACTGTAAAATATTTACAAAATCAGTATTTACATATTTACAGATCTAACTGGTATACAAATTGTATAGCAGCGGGGATAAAATTGCCCCTTGCATTGTGCCCTTGGACACAATGCTTGTGCCATGTAATATGTTGTTATGTCTTACATATAGTGTGCGGTTAATTAAAAATTCATGCACCCATTTTGAAAATAAACCTATAAAGAAAGTATACCTAGATCAGTTAACACTTTAACTAATATTCCAGGATGAACATTATCAGATGCTCCTTTTACATCCAAAAAGACACATACAGCATTTGCTTTACTATTTTTTGCATATTTCAGATCAGATAAAAGGGATAAGAAACTGTCTGCACAGCTCCTGCCCCGTCTGAAACCATATTGAACATGTGGAATGATGCCTTCAGATTCAACAAAGCAATCAAGTCTGCTTTTAACAATATTTTCAAAAAAAAATACCTATACAAGAAGATAGAGAAATAGGGCGATATGAATCAGCGCTATCTGTTGGTTTATCTGGTTTAAGGACTGGTACAACACACTGAGTTTTACAAGAGTGAGGAATTATTTGTTTTGACCATGAAGCATTGAATATTTCTAATAAAATATCTAATACAGTTGAATCTAACTTTTTTATTAGAATATATGGAAAATCATCTAAACCTGGACTAGTATTTTTACGAGACTGAAGACTTAACCGAAATTCGAATCTTGAAAAAGGTTCTAACAAAAATTTTGATTTCTCATTATTCTTATTAAGATTATAGTACATATCTAGATTGTCTACAGTAACTGAGGTATCTGCCGACAATTTATCCATAAAAGAAGCTATAAATTCGTCACTGTATGATCTATTTTTGTTTTTATTTAAATCTTTTAATATAGTTCTAGATTAAACTAATAGGAGTAGTTCTATTAAAGTTTTCCGAAAGTTTTCGCCAACCACTATTTTTCTCCTCTGCAATAGTTCTTTTTTTTAAAGCATCTTTCTTTTTATACTCAATGTAGTTCTCTGAAGTCCTTGTTTGAAATATTCGTTGGAACAAATCGTATGATACCGGTTTTTTCAATATGAGCAGCTGGAATGAATGCTCGCATGGAATTTTTCTCCAAGAATGTCTTATTATTAATAAAGTTATTGGCCGTATTGAATTGTTTAAATATCACCACAATCTTATTCGCATTTATTCGCCGAATTGCCACTACACCTTTTATTCCACTTGAAAATATATGGTTCAGATATATCGGACTTTTGTTGCCCAGTCTCTCGTTTGAAGTTGATTCAACGAACACTTTAAACTCAGTTGAATTCGAATTTGCCGGATATAACCGTTTATAGTCTGGTTTGTAATACGGTAAGAATATATTGTCCTCACCGCCGTCGTTTTTTTCACCGTCTTTCTCGGTGGCCCTTTTCCTAGGCCTTTTATTACTTTGGGCCGGGGATTATCACCCCCGTCCCCATCGATATCCATTTTTAACTCTCTATACTAGATTTTAATTATATACACTCAACTATATATACTAAATTACAATGCAAAAAAAATATTGCAAATTTGTTTAAAATTTTCCGCCCTTTCAGTTCAAATTCCCGCCTAGAATCGTAAACAATGTCTTTTTTTTGTATTTTTATGGCCTAGGTAAACAATGTCTTATGTGTATGTACCTAACCTCACCACCAAAGAATATATCTACTCTCTTACGAGAGAAGAATTCTAACTCTATAGTAAAAAAAAGCAACCATAGCGTTACACACCTACACACACAAGCGCCATTGCGAAATAGCAAGAAACAAATTTGTGAGGGAAAATTCAAAATTACAGTAGAATGTTGTAGGTACTTTATTTGTACTGCAAACTGCATGAAGATGGTTGTTAATTGTATGAAGCAATACAATAGTGTTATGATTGTATTACTTTATAACATCATAAATCCTCTTCATGCTAAAATTATAATATAGATTTAGATTATATTGTACTAAATTCTAAAGTTAACAATAATTAATGAAAGTCCGGAATTGATAAAAGTTCTTTTCAATAAAGTTTTATTATATTCTGTAACACAAATAAAACAACCAGTTAGTATCAGTTAAATCATTTATTTCTTAAAATCCTCATTTTCCTTTCCATGGCTTTTCTTTTCTCGTCTTCTTCCGATTCTCTGTTTTTTAATATAACAAATCTTTTAGTACATATTATGTAAAATGTGCTGGTTTTAAAAAGATTTATATTTGATTCTAAATGATTCATACATTTCTTTAAACAAGAAAAATCAACACAATCTAAAGCAGCCATTATATTTTGTTTTATTTGATTTTTACCGGCATCCCTTTTCAAATAATTATTTATAATTGTAGCCATTGTTTCGACACATAGGACCACATTTTTATTTACGTAACTCAAGGAGTTATTACTTATGTCATATTCTTTGAAACTTGTGAATGTGTGAATGGTTTCATGAGTTTCTGCCAAAATTGCGTTTTGACAATTTGGACAGTCAATGACTGTCTAAATTATCCAAATTGTCCAAATTAAAAAACCACACACATATCCACAAGCTTGACTTTCAGGCGTCACCTGTTCGACTGTCTGAACTGCATCAGCTAATAAGGTGTCCATCTCATTGGAATCAAATTCAGCAGTTTCAAAATTATTATACGGTATGTCTGCAGTTACAAAACTTTATAAATTATTGGACAAAATTGCGGAGTCATCTTCACAATTCTTTTTTTGTCCAGAGTGTCGTAAATTTGTAATTATTGCGGTTTTAACACCTGCTACAAATTGCTGAATTGTGGGATTATTATTTGATCCACAATTATACCTGATGCAGCCGAAACAATTTTCTAAAGGATCCTGATTGAGGCGACGGGTCGAAAGACTCTTAATGTTTATTGCCTGCAAATTTTTCCATAGCCTTTCAATGGCATTCATTGTGTGAATCCATCCTTCTTGAGACGGAGGATTTGATTTACTTCCCAGGTATTTCATGGATGAAATAAACTTTCTCATCTCTCCGAAGAACGCTATATGAGGGCTCCGTGCAGTTAGGTTTGTGGAATACTTTTTTCCTCTACGTAGGTCCGGGCTGTCAGCATTAACGGCATCAAACAGCTTGTCAAAATTTTGGACAAAAGTTGCTGTCTCATGGGCTTCAGTTGGAAGTTCATCTGAAAAAAAATATATTTTAAATGTTCCTTAATCATAACTAACATAACAACTATTTTCATGTAAGTAGAATCCGTTTATTATGACTCCGCCTATATTGACCAGCCGGTTATTATGACGTAATTGCACTACGAAGTTTGGTTTTCATATAAAATTCTTTATAAAAAAGTCGGATATAATGACTTCCCCTTACAGTGACATGTCGCTTATTATGACCCATTGTTAATAAATTATGTCCGGTTATAATGACCGACATGATTCTTAACACCTTCGGTATTGTTCGTTGATTCCCGACGACGTTTGGCACGTGGCTCGATTTTGTTTTGAATCTCAGTGAGTAATTGACGGTTGAAGGTCACGCATTGTTTTTCGTTTGTTACTGTGAAAAAAATGTCATCTCAACGACGTAAGGCATTTACAATTGAGGAGAAAGGTGCAGTAATATGCAGATTAGAAAATGGAGAATCTAACTCATGTCTCGCAAAGGAATTTGGCGTGGGTCATTCGACAATCTCAATGATTTTTAAGGAATCGTTCAATTCAAATGTTTTGAAAGCGAAGAGGCTTCGAAAATCACGACAAGAAAATGTTGATCAAGCATTAATTCAGTGGTTTAAAAACATGAGAAACAAAGGAATACCTATCAGCGGTCCTATGCTACAGGAAAAGGCAAATGGTTTTGCCGCGCGTTTTGGTATTCTCGACTTTAATTGTTCTGCAAGCTGGATCAGTCGTTTTAAAGTTCGACATAACATTGTGGCGGGAAAAATTGTCGGTGTAGATCAAAATTCAACAACAAACTGGTTGATATCTGTGTGGCCAAATTTACGAAGACAATTTTCTGATGATGAGATATTTAATGCTGATGAAACTGGACTTTTTTACAAATTAAATTTAAAGGTGAAAATTGTAGAGGAGGTAACTTATCGAAAGATAGAATAACTGTCATGGTAGCAGCGAATATGAGTGGCCCAGAGAAGAAGAAATTGCTCATTATTGGAAAGTCACAAAAACCAAGATGTTTTAATGGTGTCAAATCATTACCTGTCGATTATGCTAACAATCGTAAAGCTTGGATGACGTCAGAACTTTTTGAAAATGGCTTCGTGATTGGGATCGTGATTTGGTGAAGAAGAAGAAAAAGATTCTATTTCTGGTTGATAATTGCCCGGCGCATCCAAATGTTACTGATTTAAAGTCTATAACACTTGCTTTCCTTCCGCCGAGTACAACATCAGTACTACAGCCAATGGATTAGGGAATAATACGATCACTCAAAATGAATTTTAGGAAGAACCTTGTGCTCAAAATGATTAATTGTCTTGATGCTAATGAAAACCACTCTTCTACAAAAGTAACGGTGCTAGATGCAATTCTGATGGTTAATGATGCCTGGAATAAAATGTCTCAAAGTACCATTCATAACTGTTTCAAACACGCAGGATTCATTGAAAGCCACAACGGTTTACCTATTCAAATATCAGAACATGAATTCGATGAAGAAGATGACATTCCTTTATCTTTGTGGTCACGAAACCTAAACTCAGATTCTTTAGCAGCACCGGAAATGTGGGAAGATTATGTTGACATCGATAGCGGTCTCTTCACATTCGAAGAACCCACCGATGAAAATATCGTACAGAACATTAGTGCTAAGGAACAACTCGAAAGTGATGGGGAAGAGGAAGTCGAGGAAGCACCATTACCTACCGCAGAAGAGGCATTAAAAGCTGCAGAATTATTATCACGATTTGTTCACAGCAATATTGAAAATGATAATTTGACCATAGCTGTGTCTTCTATACACAATAGTATTAGAGACTGTTTTTACAATAAAATGAAAAAACAAAAGCAGACAAAAATTACAGATTACTTACAGTAAAAAATACACTTGTATGTGTTATTATAATAATGTGCTGATTACGTGCAATTTTGATTTTGATTTAATATGTATGTATACCATTGATATACAAAAAAACCCAAGATAGACAGTCAGGATATCAAAACCGTCCGCATAAAATGAGCACTAAACTCCAAATTGAGCGCTCATTTCAAATAGTCTCGCATCGCCCGTGTTTATGCACGCACGACAAAAATGCCAAAGTGTTCTATGAAAAATTGCAAAAATAATACGTCAAGAACTTTAAAAAAGGATGGAATATCTTATTTTCGGTAAGTAAAATAGTTTATTGATTTGCTTTTCTGGTTTTCATGACTAAATATAGGAAGTATTATGTGATTTTGATTTATTTTATCTAAAATCTTCACTTAACGGTCCAATATAGTACAGCACATTTCAATAGGTTCGTATCAGTGTAAGAACAACGCATTACAACGTCCTTTAAATTAGTCGCTTAATACAAATGACCCTGTTCGTTTCCAATGGAGGCGATTTTTTAATATTGAACTATTTTTTGTATTAATAAGAATAATAAGTTTGTTCACGTTTTGACTTTATTTGAGTGTAATTTGTAACTAATGTTTATATATCATACAATATAACATAGTTTCGAATCGACTTTCAAAAGTTGAAGAGGCAGTCATGTTGACTACTTTTTTTTTTAATTTTCTGTATATTTCCATTATTTAGGACTTCTGATTTTTGTAGGTATGTACCAACTATATACCTCCTATATGATTTCTAATTTTAATATTTTAGTTTTTCTCGTGACCCAATACGATGTGAAGAGTGGAAATCAATCGTCAGTCAGCAAAGGCGTGAAGATTTTTTTAAACCAAATAGATCAAGTGTAGTTTGTTCAGAACATTTTTTGGACGAAGATATGTATGTCACTGCAAAAGGGATAAAACGTGTTCTTAAAACGGCTGTTCCTCGTGTAGCGGTAAGTAACTATGGTTACCCAGAAAATAGTTTGTCGAATTAGTATCGTTATTAGGTACCTCTTGATTCGAATAATTATTTTTAATAATCATATCTTTTCAAGTCCTTAAGATTGTAAGTAACTACAGTGAAGAACGAACGGAACTTTATTTCCGTTTTACAATAAAATGTTACTTGGCATTCTTATAGTTACTTATCACTTTAATGTTGCTTACAGATTGAACCGGACAATGGCGATGATACTGAAGTTGGTCCTACCATGTTCGTTTTAGATAACAAAAAGGAATTCAAATCTCCTACTACTTCTCTAAGTATAGGCTCAATTTTGGATACACCTCGAAAAGTTACTATAAAAAGCGAACTGCATGCCGCAGAAGGCTAATTAGTAATAAAAAAGTAATTGACAACTTAAGGAAAAAAAATTCTAGGCTTATTAAAAAAAACATTTCACTAAAGAATGCACTAAAAGTTTTAAAGAAAAAAATTAATTTAGACTCAAGTTTATGTCAATATCTATCCAATCATATAACCCCATCTGAATCGTTCAATTCTAGTTTTTTAAAGAATGTAATAAAGAAGAAGAGATATTGTAAGTATCCTCCACAGGTCAGGAAATTTGCATTAACTCTACATTTCTACTCACCAGCAGCCTATAAATTTATACGGCAAATGTACAACACCTGCTTACCTCATACAAACACTTTGCATGACTGGTACAAAAGTGTTGAAGCAAAACCAGGCTTTACACAAGAAGCAATCGAAAGACTCACAGAAAAGGTTAAAAATTCAAAAAAATCTCTGTTATGTTCATTAGTAGTGGATGAGATGTCCATTCGACAGCAAAAAATCTGGACCGGAAAGAAATATGAGGGCTTAGTCGACATAGGAATAGCAAATAACGACTCAAATCAAATAGCTACTCAAGCGTACGTGTTTTTATTAGTGTCTGTTAATGAATCGTGGAAAATTCCTATTGCTTACTTTTTTATCAGTAGTTTAACCGCCGAAAATAAAACAAATTTAATAAAAATTGCTCTCACGAAGTGTCACACCGTAGGTATAAAAGTAATTTCAATAACATTTGATGGTTGTAAGACAAGCATATCTGCCATGAAACTTTTAGGCTGCAAAATGGATGAGGCTCACAATTTAAAGCCCTATTTCAAACACCCCTCAGCTGATTACGATGTTTGTGTATTCCTTGATGCATGTCATATGATTAAACTAATGAGAAATTTATTTGAATCAAAAAAAATTATTTACAATAACGATAACAAAAAAATTAAATGGAAATTAGTCGAAGATCTACATAAGGTACAAGAAAAAACTGATTTACATTTAGCTAATAAATTGACCCTAAAACACATTTCGTTCAAAAATTCCATTATGAAAGTTAAACTAGCTGCTCAAATTTAAGTCGCAGTGTAGCGAATGCAATTACTTTTTGCGATACTGCTTTAAAAATTCCAAATTTTATGGATTCGGGTCCAACTACTGAGTTCATAATACTAGTGTTAAATAATTTATTTGATATTTTAAATTCAAGGAATTTCAACTCCGGTGGTTTCAAAAGACCCCTAAGTAGCATCAATTCAAAAGACGTTTTTAAGTTTTTCCAAACATCAAAATCATATTTTTTATCGCTTTATATTATGGTTCAGAGGAAACGCACCATCAAGAAGAATGGAGAAACGAGAATAATATTTTCTCATGACAAAGTATATGTATAAAATTGCCAAGCAAATACAGGAATAGTCGGATTACTTGTTTGTATTGAAAGTGTACAACGTTTATATGCTAGTTATGTGGAAACCGGTTATTTGTCATATATATTAACCTATACGTTTAGCCAGGATCATGTTGAGCTCTTCTTTGGCAATATAAGGAGCCAAGGAGGGTTCAATAATAATCCAAATTCACGCCAATTTAAATCCACGTATAAAAAACTTTTAATGCATCTGGAACTCGGTTCCAAATTTACAGGCAATTCTGTTCCTTTGGAAAATGTGCCTATTTTGAATTCTGGGGCAACTGTATCAAACATTAACCACACTAGCGTTGGATATCGTTTTGATATAGAAAACGAATATTTGGCAGTCGAAGATAGCAGTTATGACACATATCAAAATAATTGTGATATCTTATCAGATTCATTAAATCATTCCAGCTCTGAATATGTTAATCAAATTGTTGGATACATTGCGGGGTTTGTGGTCAGACATATTCTAAAAAAAAAAAATGTGACATCTGCAAAGATGCTACACTAGCTCGAAATAAATTATGGTTTCATAAACTAATTGATTTGAAGGATTTTGGTGGACTATGTTACGCTAGTGAAGATGTTTACGCTATATGTACTAAAACTGAGGAGGTAATAAGACGAGAACAGCGCATACATGATCAAAAAACACCACCAAGGCCTATTTGTGTTCCCTAGTTTAAAAAAAATATGTTACATTTAAATCTATTTTCTAGTATTGATACACATTCCCTTCAACAACCTGCCTTATTCAATCACAAAATTAGTTTGACAAAAGCTATTATAGAAAAGTTCATAGATGTTCGTGTACATTATATAGCAAAAAAAACTACAGAAAATCTGAAATCTAGTTCAAAAAGACAACTCTGCAACAAACTTAACTTATTCCAAGGAAATTAATGTGTTTTTCTATCCTCGTTTACACGTATACATTCAATTTTTTGTTGGAAATATTTTTGTAAGATCCGACTTAGTACGGTCCAGCCCTTTCGGTGATTACTTGGAACAAACAGACTCATAAAAATTGTAATTTTGATAACGTACTTATCGTTAAATTTATAATGTAAAAATATTCATATTATGTAATCATATTATACGACTTAGTAGCAACAATGTTATTTTTACTGTATGGTCCTGCACTTTCGGTGATTACTTGGAATAAACACTATACATATGCATTTAAAAAAATTGTAATTTTGGTAATGTATCGTTAAATAAATATTGTAAAAATATTCATATATGTAATCATAAAAACTGTAATTCTGATATTAAGAACAGACACTTTAATTTTATTTCTTTTAAAAATATGTATTTATGTCATTTTAAATATAAGAAGCATCACTCATCACCACCAACTTAAATTTGATGCATGATACCAAAATTCAAAAAGCTTTCACCACCAATACGCAATCATCATAAACTAAATATCTAGGTACTTAGTTTCTACAATATTACCTTTTCAACTAAATATACAAATAAATATTTTTTAATGGTTAACATTTGTTTTTTTGATAAATACATGTTCCACTCAAAAATATATATACACTGAGATAAAAGTACAAGTTGAGAACATATTTTTATAAATTATTAAAATATTAAGTGAACGTAGTATAAAAATAAAAAGTATAAACATAATGAAGTCTCCATTCCATGCCTTGTCCTACCAGCAGACTTCGGTCGTAAAATTTTATTGCTTTTTGTACACTGCTTTGTAAAAAGAGCTTTATATCATGTGCGTAAGGTTGAATTTGCAAAAAAAATATGTTTATAACATAACTACATCTACTCAAGTGTGATTGGAGACAGATTCAAGTGTTACTTTAGTTCGAGACTGTGTATCTTGGGTTTTTTGTATATCAATTATGTATACATACATATGTAATTATGTACTATGTTTCTGTATTAAAATACTTAAATACATACATATTTACATAAAAAAAGTTTTTCATTTCACATAACGCTTTATATGACGTCCGCTTATTATGACGTGTTTGTCAATTCCTTTCGATGTCATTATAAACGGACTCTACTAACTAACATAATATTCAAGCGACTGCCTGAAACACAGGTTTCACACCTAGCTCAGGCCGTTTGCAAAAGAATTTGTTATATTTTGATTTTACTTTTTTTTTATATTCACTCTTGCACATTTTAGAATAGTCATATACTAGTTTTATGTTAGCTTTAGTAACAAATTTTATATATAAATCTAATGACAATAAGATGTAAATCATAATAATAGGTATACAAAATGTAACCTAGACTTTATTCTGATTCTGCAAATATTTTTTTATTATTATTGTTATTATAATAAAATGTAACAAACTAGTCATAAAGTACCTAGTTTAGTAAACTGGTGTTTACAGTGTAAGCCAAGATACGGTTCGCTGCGAGAAATGGGACACTAAAATGATAAATGCACTTACTTCGTGTTATTATCCTTTCCTGGATTCGGAAACCTATGATACGTCACCGTCATATCTTCAGCACGTGTTTTACCACACTTCACACTTTGCGCATTTTCTATAATTGTTCATGGACATTGTTCACAATTTACAGACACAAAATTGGAATCTAACTCTCTAAAGAATATTTAAATCCGAATGAGAGAAAACGTCTTGCGGTCTAATTATACTTCTTGTGAAAGGATGTTTATAATCTAGAAGTTATTTAACTTCTGTAACACACGAAAGAGTTAATCTAGGAAAGTAACTATAATAACATAAACAGCAATAATTATTTCTTTGACTTGACACAATACACAGAAAGAAACAGTAATGGTCGTAATGGCGTCTACAAAGCAAAAATGGCGGCCGGCTAGTGGCTTTTCAGTGTGGCCATTGTTCACCACTAACTTACTATCAGTGAGTAGAATTATTGCGAGCGGAAACACAGTGATGTTTAATGAGCATGGTTGTTTAATAAACAACTCACGCGTTGAATGCATAGGTGAGGCGTTTTTAAAAAATGGTGTGTACTAATTAAATGTTGTAAAGGCTGAACAAATGTTAGCAGCAGCAGTAAAAATCTCAGGCACGACTTGGCATAGACGGCTAGGCCATATAAATGCCAATGATTTAAATAAGTTAAAAAATGGAGCAGTTGAAGGTGTTAGTTTTGAAAAATGTGAAACTAGTAAGGCCAGTTGCATAGTTTGTTGTGAAGGCAAACAAACAAGGCTGCCATTTCCTCACAGCACCAGCAGAAGTCAGGAGGTCCTGGAACTGGTTCACACGGACTTGTGTGGTCCTATGGAAAATATATCACTTGGAAAAGCTAGATATTATTTGTTGTTTGTGTGCGACTTCAGCAGAATGTGCACGTATACTTCCTTCAAAATAAAAGTGAGTCATTAAAGTATTTTAAACAGTATAAACAACTTGTTAAGAATCAACACAAAAAAAAAATAAAGACTAAGATCTGACAATGGATGGGAATTTTGTTCAACGGAAATGACAAACTATTTAAAGCAATGTGGTATAGTTCACCAGAAAACAAACTGCTATACACCAGAACAAAATGGACTATGCGAGAGATATAATAGATCCATCGTGGAAAAGGCTCATTGTCTCCTTTATGATGCCCAGTTTGATAAATTTCTTTGGGCAGAAGCCGTCAATACTACTGCGTACATTAAAAACCGTTCACCAGCAGCAGGCTTAGATCAAAGTAATACTCCCTATGAAATATGGAAAGGCAGAAAGCCAAATTTGAGTCAACTAAGTTTTTTGGCAGCCCTGTAATGGTACATATACCAAAAGAAAAACGAAGAAAATGGGATAAAAAGGCACAGAAAATGTACTTGGTAGGATATTCAGAAAATGTCAAGAGATATCGCTTGTTTGATCTTACTTCTCATGATGTCATTTTAGCCAGGGATGTTGGTGTCATGGAGAAAATAGATGACAGTTCAACAATATCTATTGTAATTGAAGAGGAAAATCAACCTGACCGAACAGCTGATGTGGTTCCTACCAGCATTTCGGATGAAGAAAATCAGAATGATAAGACATATGTTCCTGATAATTCATCAAGTGACACAGATGACAGTTATGCTGATACCGTGTCTTCGTCGCCAGGAGATGGGAATCTTGTTCATCAGCAGTGCGAAGAGCGTTTACCAGAAAAACGTGTTAGGCGCAAGCCAGACTTTTATAGCGCCGACATGTGCGTAGACATATCAGATGATGGAATTTCCTTTAGCGATGCAATAAGCGGACATGAAAAAGAACAGTGGCAGTGTGCAATGAAAGAGGAACTAAAATCCTTTCAAGAGAATGACACTTGGGAGCTAGTGGATAGACCTAAAGACCTAAAAAGGTCTAACAGCAAAGGGCTTTACTCAAAAAAAAGGCATAGACTATAATGAGACTTTCTCCCCAGTTTTAAAATATTCTACTTTAAGATTACTGTTGGCGTTAAGTATAGAACTAGGGCTGAAGTCTAATTACCTAGATGTACCCACTGCATTTCTTCATGAGACAGTGTATATGGAAATACCAGAATGCTCAGATATGACAAATTGTAATCATAAAGTTTTAAAATTAAAGAGAGCTGTCTATGGTTTGAAGCAGTCAGCTAGAGCATGGTACCTAGTGTACCATGCTCTAACCAGTAGAAGAATGTCTATTACAGTTAAAATATAAAAAGTCTTACTATAAACCAAGTCTGTTTGTAAAGAACGAAAAAAATGTAAAGATTTATATAGCTCTATTTGTTGATGATTTTTTTGTTTTCTAATTCTATTTCTAATGTCGCCACCCGAACCTTACTAATCTTTCCGGTTAAATTGCCTTTGAAATACGTTTCTGAAAAATCTTCATAATTTATAAAATCGATGTGCGTAAGACTTTCTACGTAATATGGGCCGGGATCTTTACGAGCCAACTGAAAAACAGTTGGTCACTGCGACGGTGCCCATATTATAGTATTTCTAACAGACTTTTCAATCGTGGCATGGATGCTATCGACAGTCATTTCCGTATGCCCTGGAAGCAGATAATTCATTTGTATGGTTTCAATGTGTTTTGTTTCAAGCAGTGCGCTATGTATGGCGGCTAAAACTATTTTGTTTTTATTCTGCCCTGGGCATGAGTCTGAATAAAGAATTAAATTTGTTACAGAACTACGTGAATCGATTCAGCAATATACTTTTGTAAGATTGTTGCTATTTCATTGCCTCCTCTTTTTCCTTCGGTTTCACCCCACGTATAACAAAAGCCATTTCTGGTACCACTTACGTAAAAACAAAGGTTGTACACTGTATATTCTCTAGAATAAAATAGCAGCATACTCTCCCCATGTTCAGTACCTTTTGTAGATCAAAAGAAGTACTTCTTTGCAAAAGCATTGCGTTATTCTTATTGCTTAGTTCACGGTGAAAAGCTAATCTATCTTTTGATGCCTTTTTTTCCTTTAAATGACTTAACATTTCAGGATTTTCTTTTTCATTCTGGCCTTCAAAACGTAAACATCTGACACATTTATCCTTCTTTGGAACGAGGAAACCAATATTGAAATCCTTGGTGAAAATGTCACGAAATATTTTTTCACCAACAACATCTATACCATCTGATGTTTTCGACTGTTTATAAATCCTATACAGGTTTTTTATGTTTTTAAATTCAGTGGGGAGATATAATCTGGTACTGTCTTTACGACAGTAATGGGATGGTAGTGCTGGTAAACTTTTTTTAAAATTAATGGCCGACTCCTTAACTGAGTGAGGCGTTTTATTTTTAGGAACAGTTTTACCTCTGCTCTCCTCTTTTCACAACCCAGACGATGCATTGGCTAAGGTATAACTAACATATTTTGGGCTAACACCTAAATTGTCTACTAGAATTTTTTACAAACCTTACGTCGGCCTTCACCATCATTAATATAGTAGAAATATGTATTGTGTCTCACACCAGAGTCCTTTGACATTTTTCGTTTTATGTCAGTTTTAGCAGTCATGCCTACTAGCCAATCTTTTTTTTCTTTGGGATGGTAGTCCCCAAAAATAATCAAAGATATTTTTTCTTTTTTCTTCGGAAACATTATTGCAGTCGTTGCCACAGTTTTTTCCTAGGCATGGATTAAGCTTAAGTGATCTTAAGTGAGCTTCTTTTTCTTTTTCAATCCTGCTTCACCCACTTTACCGTCTTCTGATCTTACTTTTCTTTTCTTTTCTTGAGGTTCATTGCTTTCGTTTGATGACGATTCATCCCCAGTTTCTTTCCAAGAAGAAGAATCCCATACAAAGTCCTCTTCCTCCGATAGAAAATCGACATAGCTTTTATTAATTTTGTTTCTCTTGTTCCTTTTTTGTAGATTTGACTTGACCTTCGTTTTTATTATTATTGTTCTCTGTTTCTATGTCATCTTCATCTGCTTCAAGGGACTTCCTCAGCAACTCCATCTCACTCTCAGCAATTACTTCCGTTAATGTAGAAATAAGTTCAGGGTCTTTTTCTTTGTAATTTTTATGTATCAGTTCGTCATCATCGTTTTCTTTTTGTAGAAATGTATCACTCGAGTTTTCCTTATTCCACACTCCTTCAGTATTCTCAGTTTGAAAAAAAAATGAAATTAAAGAAATGCTATTTCCGCGCGGATGAAATCGTAGGTAAAAGCTAATATTACAATGAATTACCGACTCAAATTCAATTTCTATTCGTATATCTTCTATATTTTCTGTATAACTCTTTTCTTTGGTTAGATCTTTGTTGGTAATATCTTCTAATACAGCCTTGTTGGTACAGTCATGATCATCCTAAAAGAAAAAAGAAACTTAAATCAACGAGAACTTCAAATGTTAACATAATAACATTCTTATAGGTATAAAGCTTTATTTAGCTGTGACTCTTTTTCCATTTTGTTGTTATGTGTATTCACAAATGGAAATCTTTCGATTTGGTCATAGTAGGATTGACTTCCTAATAGTGTAACAACACAATCTTCATAATTTTTTATGTTTTCATTTCTGCACTTGTAGGTACTTCAGTCTTTTGTTGCGACAACTCTTTCATTATCTGTTTCTTAAAATACAACTGGCGTTGTGATTCCATAGTTCCTGAAATGAAATCAAAACCGATTTAAAAACATTTTCTATTTTTATGTAGGCAATTCTAATGTACAATGTCTCATTATAATTGAAAAAGAGACTTAGGACCATCTAGAAGACTTAACAAGTAAGCTAACAACAATAAATCGTACCTACCTAAAGATAAAAAGGCTTTGACAAATAGAAAGCAGCGTAACGTTTTATTACATAGTTACCTAGTTATTATTTTGTGAACGATACGAACCTAGCTTGTATTTAATGTAGGTACCTATTGTAAATCAAAACAATGTCTTCCTTATTCTATATTCCTAGCGTAATTACAGATCTTTTCATTGATTATCATTTAGATAAAACAAAATATTTTGTTCTTACCAGAAAAATCAACCGTCTATCTTCACAGCTCGCTCGCACACAACTCCCTTCCTTCAGTGTTGGCGGCTGACTGACGCGCGCACGCGGGTGGATGAGATACTCGGACACTTACACAGAACGCGCAATAAATTGAACTTAGTTCCAAGCGACTAAGGAGTAGCTAACTTCACTAATTTATTGGACGGCCTTTGTGTTAAAACCGATTTGATAAAATGATGGAAATGCTAATTTTACAAATACTGAATTTAATCAAAATGTTTCAACCGCCATAACACTAATGAGATAGTTCGGTTGAAATAGCCAAAGCGACATTACTCACATTATCCATAATAGAAGCTAAATGGGTCAAGAGACATAGTTAATTAATATAAATTAATGCAAAATGGTTCAAGCGACACGGTTTTTTTATGTAGTTGAATGCAAAATGAGCCAAACGACATAACTTATTGTTTTGGTTTAATGCAAAATAGGCCAAACCACAAAACTACAATAATGGCGACACATGTTTATAAAAGTTCGAAACATCAAAATAGCTTAAGTCATCAAGTCCTCAAATTTGTCTAATTTTGTGTCGTATAGATCAATGAGCTTAGAAATGAGGCCTGTTTTGCTGTGGGTGCTAAGCGCCAAAAAAGTAGCCAGAAAAATTTTAAACCTGACTCAAACGACGGAGAAAAATTTGCTGATTCCGAATATGTATATAACTTAATATCGCAAAAAATGTCGCTTGGATCAATTAGCCTTTCAACCGTCGATATGTGAATTAAAACATGTTGCAGATATTGTGTCAGTTTTACGAAACCCACGATAACACGTCGTGGCTAAATATCATTCAGAATTAATATCGGTAAATTTAATTTACAGTAAGAGCAGTTATATATTATAAAATAATAAGATTTTTCAAGATATTTGTTTTATAATTGTTCACGGGATGACCTAGTTACTAAATAATAAGGGTTAAACAATACTCAGAAAGTATGCAACGAACTTATTTTATTTTATAAATCTCACCAATGTCATTCAACTACGGAGACTCTTAACACCGTGATCTAATTAAGTGAAATTAGTAAAGCGCCACCTATCGATCAGCATGTCAACTAAGTAATGTACTTCAACATACCGCCCACCAAGGACCTTTGTCCTTAGAAATTACCGCCCACCGTGGCAGATATACAGTAAATAGTAGTAGAATACAAATCAGTCTTGGTGGGAAATCTCCAGATGCACAACAAGTAGGTTACAATTATAGGAACTGACTCCGCACATAGTAAAATAACAAAGTAAATTTAAACAAACGGTTCTAATAATTACAATTACAACCTAAATACGTTTTTTAATCTGCGACAGGCAGAACACACAATTTTGAAGTGGGTCTTTTTAAATAAGAGTTTTTACACTTTAGTGTAACCACTCGGGTTAGATTATCAGTGCCTGGGTGTTTTTCTACAACTCTACCAAGAAGCCACTTCGCGGGAGGTAAGTCATCTTCTTTTACCAAAACAACATCTCCTACTTGGGGTTCAGGTATCTTATTAGTCCATTTATATCTATGGAGAAAATGTGTCAAGTACTCATTAGCCCATCTACGCCAAAAGTTTTGCAACATACTTTGCACTAAATGCCATCTTTTCAGGCTACTGATAGGACTTGCATGATAACTCGTATCAGGCACGGTAAGTATTGGCTCTCCTATCAAAAAATGACCAGGAGTCAACGGTGTGCACTCATCTGGATCTGTGCCTTATGCGACTGACAGCGGCCTGGAATTAAGACACGCTTCAATCTGTGTCAAGAGAGTGGTCATCTCTTCAAAGGTGAGTGTAGAGTTGCCGATGACCCGTTTTAAATGAAACTCTGTTTCGAAGGCAGCCATGTGTTCTTCAATATGCTTCATGTTGTTCATTTCAATGTGCACGGTGGTTGTTGTGATTATATTTTATAAGAAGTATATTTGAGAGGAGATAACACTTCACTAGTAGGTGTATTATAGTCCGGTCATTTTAGACAATTGAAATAAAGAAAATTCCGACAGAGCCAAATCTTCGTAGAGACCTTAGGTTTACCACAAGGAATAAAGTGTCAAAAGTCCCCATCAGTCCCATGTGAGCTTAGGGACTTATTCGGGACCCAAGGTCAAAATTTTAGGTTTTTTGGATTTTTCTCGATAACGGTAAGTTTTATCGAAAAAGTACCTTAAAGCAAAGTTGTAGATCTACAAATTCTCTATAAAAATGGTCCCTATGATTTTTTCTCTAAGACCCACTATTTCCCAGATATTGCGCTTGTAAGAATCATGTTCTAAATAGTATGCACACATATGCCACGTATATACGAGTACATATTTAGGTACTCAAGCAAGCAAAAATGCCTACTCGTGTCTCTTTTATGTATACATTATACTATTCTAAGAAAATTTACTCTAAAATGACCGCCGGTCCCTTACCGAATCCCCTCTACTTGAATAACATCTGGCCTTAAAAAACATCTGCCTATTCTTTTGTCCATGTGGTGTCGTTCACGTATACCTGCTTCTTTTAGTGTTGAACGAGCAGTTCGAGTGACTATACGTATTTATTACAAGCGTCTACTATTGAAGTTAGTGCTGATTAATATTTAAAAAAAATGTCACAATTTTGCTTTATTTGTAATAAACTTTTGACTGAAGATGAAACTGTTGTTGTCAGTCGTGGAATGCCAACTTTAATCAATGCAAGTGTCGCAAGAAGTGATGAGTTTGCTGATTATTTAAGAAGCCAAAAGTCCGTTACAATTCACGTGGATTGCAGAAAATCATACACCCGGAAAACTTCAATCTCTGCATCAAAAAGACAACGTGAGGAAGAACAGGCCAGTACTTCAAAAGTAAGTCCACCTCATACTAGAGCGCTGTTCGCGCCAGTAATGGACGCGACGCAGTTCCTGAACGTAACGCGGCTGTCAAGAGTGACAGTCGTAATATTGTTAAATGTCAATGAAACAGCTCTTACTTCCCGCCAAAACGTGTGATCAACATAGCGTAATACTAGACATAAAATTCGTGCCGGCAACGAACTACTTAAGTTAAGTTGTGTGTGTCCCGTTACAAACTATAAACAGTAGCCCGTGAGTGAAAATTAACTCAGTAAAATAAGTTACCAGACAATTAGTGACCACGAGGTTTCAACAATCCTTTACCTTCAACAACAACCCAGCAGCGTCACCCGCAGCGCAGCACCAGTAAGTACATCCTATACTAGGACCTCAAATATATTCCATACCCTACTCTTTCCCCTTAGTCAGCCCACCTTATCTATGTATCACCAAGCGGCCGATACAAGCGCGAATAAGTGAATCCAGCTTTTGTTTTAAAAACTACTGCTTATTTTGTGGCGATGAAGCGGATGAAGAAGCAGAAAAGAAGAAAGTGAAAATTTATCGCCGAAAAATTCATAAAGTTTCTACACTTACATTCAAAGATTCCATTTTAAAATTAGCTAAAGATCGTTCTGATGATGTGTCAATAGCTGTCTTTGCGCGTATTAATTTTCAGTATGATTTAGTTGCTGCTGACGCTAAATACCATGACAGTTGTTACAAATCCTTCCTGAGACCTAATACTGGCGGTAAAATTGGCCGTCCTCAAAGTGAGGCTATAAACTCTCCAATGGAGGAAATTTTCAATTTCATTGAAAGTAGCGATGACTGCCAGTTTTCGTTAGATGAACTGAAGAATGTTTGCCAAAATGTAGCTTTAGAAAACGGGATTATAAAAATACGATTGAAATTAAAGTATGGTAGTAGAATTATTATTACAGAGAAGCCTGGAAAATAACATTTATTTGTTTTGTAGACAATTACCAAGACATTTTAAGTCAAGCCTGGTCTGATAACAAAAACTTGAATGAAAAGGAAAAACGGTGGAAAACTTTAAAAGCTGCGGCAGAAATTATTCGAGAAGATATTCAATCTTGTATGTTTGATAATACTATGTACCCGCCACCGGGTAGAATGTTTGAAGATATAAATAACGATATTCCCGAATCATTATCTTTTTTCAACAACAAATCATTCTTAAAAATAAGCGTCATGATTTGGATCATTTAAAGTTAGTTTGCACAAATATTAGTCATAGCATAATGACTGCTGTTCGGCCTAGATCCTTCAAGTCTAAATTACAGCTGGGTCTTTCAGTTTTTTTCCATCGGCGGTTTGGTTCAAAACGGCTTATACAAATTTTCTCATCGTTTGGTTTATGCGCATCTTACAGTGAAACAATGAAGTATGAAGCAGCAGCAGTTTTCAGTCGCCCACCTCACATTTTATCACCAGAAACTGGCACATTTGTTCAATATGTTGCAGATAATGCTGATATTAATGTAAATACTTTGGACGGTAATAATACGCTTCATATCATGGGTATTATACAAATTGTAACTCCCAAAGATTCAGTATTACTAGAACAGCCGATGCCGCGAGTAACTGAAGTCCTTTCAGCTAAAGATTTTGCAACCAAGGCTCATGTACCTATACAGGTTTATCAAAATACTGGCGTAGTAGGATATAGCAAAATAAATGTGCGAGATTTTGAATACGAAAATGAAACAAAAGTATCTTTTCAAAAAAAAGTTGATGTGATATGGTTCTATGGAAAATGTAAAGCTTTTCCTTTACCTGGTTGGAATGGTTATATTGAACACGTGACTAGCAATATTGATCCTAGTGTTTATCGAAGGTTTACTGAAGGATTTTTCACTATTCGACGTTCTGATAAACTCAGTTGTGGAACTTCAACAGATATGATTATCGAACAATCAATGATGAAATCCATGAAAACAGATGGTGGTATTTCTCGAGGACGAAGTACAAAAGAAAGTGTAATAAGCAAATGGGTTTACGGAATGCATGCAATGAACACAGTGTGTGACGAGTTGGAAGTTCTTGCTAATGTTCGAATGGACACGACAGATCAACATGTAGATGCGAGTGATTCGAGAGTTAAGAAAGATGCTAAAGATATTAAAATACTTCTTGACTGGTTTTCATCACATGATCATTTTCCCGAAATAAACAAAATCTTATCTATTGCTTCAGGAGTCGTTGGTGACGATAAGATTAATTGTCATAAAGCTCGTGAAGTTGGGATTGCCTCGATGTCTAAAATGACTGGTCAAACTTTCAATCATATAAAATTGAAAAGCACAGATAAAGTACTTCCTCTTTTAGTTGTGAGTAGCACTGTGAAATTTCACGACGAAGAAGTACCAATAGACCCAGTATTATTATTTCAACGTATGAGTGTCACTAAGACTTTTGAGGATGGAATTGAAACATTTTTCGCATATGATTTAG